CCCCACACACACACACACACAAAAAAAAAAACAAACTTGGAAATAAATCATAACTAAAATTTGTGAAATGGCTGTAAAAGTATTTGAGAAATTCTTCTGTTATTATAATGGCAGGCTGAGCTTTACTTTCCCAAAACATCTTTTTAGTGCACCATCATTAGTGTAAACCATCATATGGATCATAACAGATCATTTTTTCACTTCTGTTAATTTTAAACCATTCACAAATAAAGATGCTGTACATAATAACTTTCCACGTGAAGAAAGGTAAAGAACCTCACTGGACAAAAAGCCTGTTAACAATCAGCTTTTGAATGTAAACTGCATGTTAAATGACTGCAGTTGTTGAGGGTAGTTCTTAGCTTTAGCTTCAATTAGGTTTTAAAACTGAAAGCAGGACACACCACTTTTTATTTAACACACTCTACGTCTAAAACTGACGACAACAGCCCACGCGTATGATAGGGACTGATAGATTTTACCAAAGCGCAAGAAAATTAGCAGCTCATTCTCGGTTCCTTTGTGTGGGGTGACTTCCACAGACCAGTGAAGAGTAAACTAGTCCAATTACATCAGAAAGTAGCTGTCATCGGAAACTGCGGTCCAACCCAGTTTAAAAAGTACAGAGCAGTTTTTCTTCATTCTCTCCGTCACATCTCACATGGTTTTACTTTTGGAAACAGTGGTAGTGAAATGTAACTCTAGTTCTTTAACCTTTCTAAGGACTAAGGATAAACATTTTACAGCTTGAAAATAGAAAAATATTTGATTATTTTAGCAGGTAATGGATAAGGCCAGTTCAAAACAGTGCATTTGATCTAAAATGATTGATGATGATGATTTCATTTATGATAGACTGCTGACATCAAAATTAAAGTGCTTTGATGGCAAAAGTGGCTCTTGCATACATTTTTCTGTCACATTTAGTGGTAAAAGAAAATGAATGCATGGATTTCCACTGTCTCTTTAACAACACACACACAAAAAAATAATAGATACAGAAAGTTTCAATGCTTTGCGTTACAGTTAGTTAATCTCTTCAAGTCATAGCAGATGATAAATAGTATTTACAAAGATTTAAAAATGAATATGTGAAATGGATGTGCTATTATACAAATCTATATGTTTTTCTCGCAATTGGCAATGTTAATCCAAATGTAAATAATTAATTAAAGAGTTAGAAAGCACAATGAGCTTGCTGAAAACAAAAATATATATATATCTAAATGTATAAAGATAAGGATTTTCTTATGCTCTTTTCAACAGTGTACAAGTCACTGTTTTAACATTTTAACTGTTAATTTCCTAACTTGCTTGTAAAGTTTATTTTATGTAAATTTCCCTCCAAAACAATCCAAAATTTGTTTTAGTTTTTTTTTTACATGTATTCGCATGTGGAAACCCATGTGAACACATAATCAGATGAACATGTTCACTGTGGCTCAAAGCCAAATGGGAAAATGTATTTACCTTTTTTTTTTTTTTTTTTTTTTAAGAGATTTATCTTTCTGTGCTGGTTGAAGCTCCAGTTTTTTGTTTTTTAACATGACATTTTTGGTTACCATTGGGCAAATTTTTTTTTTAAATGACAGCAGTAAATTGTTTCATTAAAGACTTAAGCACAGCTTTCACACATTGCCTACAGTTAGTCAGCTATCTAGCACACAACAACTAAAGACACTACATGTGCACTAAAATACTGTAAATGCTCCAAACACATAAACTAGCTAAAACAAAAAGCATTCCGTTTCCTAATCAAACACAATGATTTATTCACACTACAAAGCAGATCCATGCACACCAAGAGAATCTCACCACAAAATAAAAGCACACTATCTTGGCTAAAATGGGGTAAAAAAAAACAAAGCTTAAGCTAAGGTTTGCACACTACTCTTAAGCACACAGCGATTACCTAGCTCATTAAATGACGAGAACATTGGCTTCCAGGTTGATCCTGGGAAAGGCCACGAGTGAGTGGTTTGCTTTTAGAATGGAAAGGAAAAACATTTGTGATTTGTGACCAATTTGTCTTTCCACTCCTCAAAAAACATTTTCCATGTTGTTGTAATATCTCACTGCTGTTGCCAGAAAAATGCATTTTCAAGGAGAGAAAATAAATAAATAAATTCCTAATCATCCATCTGCACTTTAGCTACAGCTCACCTGTATTCTAAGAAGGCATCATCATTCATTCCTTGTGACTCCTCGTCAGGATACAGATCCTCCTTCTCTTTCACTGCGAGAAATCAAGAAAAGAAGATTGAGTACAAAGCAGCACCTCCATGCTTTTAGTAGCTGTAGCTTGATATTACACATCTACAATATTTTAAATTAAATCTATTATAGAGATGAATAAATGAATTAAAAAACAACAGTCCACCTTTTCATCATATTTTTTTTCCTGGTTTTACTGATTCATGCACACAACATATTGAAAAAAAAGTTCAGATTTGTAAAACTTTATTTAGTTCTTGAAAAGAAAGAAGAAGAAAAAAAAGAGCCCCAGAGTGTTTTTTGGAACATGTAAATTTGATGTTTTAAGCACTGCTCAAAGTCTTTAAATGGAAAGCCTCTCTTCTGCATGTCTGCACAAAGTGCCATCAGATCCTACGGTAAATACGCTTTAAAAACAGCTGCTTTTCAGGGAGACAAAAGAAGGGATTCATGAAAAGAACTGGATGGGCTATGGGAGAATCCAAAAGAAGTCGATGAAATATTCAGTACTCCACGTCGAAAGCTACCGCAGGCACAGAAGCGTAGCAACTATAGTGGAAGAAACAGGGAAATAGACAGAATAAAGGGAGACTTTGCAGGTACAAACCATTGTGAGAGAGACTGACTCTGATACGAGGCAGCACAAAGATAAAAGGGAAGAGCCAGGAAAGCTTGCACATGTGAGGGGTAAGGGAGTGGAAGGGAACAAAGTCTGCTGACTCTTCTGTGTCTGGCTGGGCAAAAAATGCAATCACTTAGGCCAACAACCAGAAACATGAATTACTATAGCTGTAAGCAAGTGTAAGAAACTGGGCTGGGCATCAACCACCATAAAACAGTTGGCGTTAAAAACATAACAGATAATCGGAGGCCATTTCCTAATCTGATTTTAATCTGAAGGACCATTTTCTTAGCTGGATTTTCACTCCACAGCAAAACAAAAAGGACGCTATGCAAGGCTAACTGACCTTTTGCCATGGACAGCGTGTCTTGTAGCCTGGGTGGCGGCGTACCTGCATATTTGCCACCTTTGTTTTTTCGCACAAAGCATGCCATGAGCGCAACAAGGGTGAGCAAGGCCACAGCACACATGGTCCCGATGAACCAGCGCTGAGTTGAGTCGTCGTCCATCCGACTGGCTACACCTGAGAGCAGGAAACAAGAGGCAAAAAGCTCAAGGATTAACTGTACACACTGGCAGTCTTGAGCATGAGTGATCCTCCTACTAATGTATCTTAGAGTAGGAGCCAAAAAAAAAAGGATGTTTTTGCGATGCATTACACTCACATTCACTTCAGTTGTAACACACTTTCTCTTCTGATAAAATATTAAATAGGAAGAAAACAAAATTTGTGAAAAAATTTGTACATTCACTATAGTCAATAAATCACAGTTAATCAGTCAATGACACATGAAACCTCTACTGACGGGAACGCCCCTCACCTGTGACTCGTGTCTGGATAACATCCTCGAAAATGCTAGCATTATCAAGCAGTTTCTTGGCCACGAGCCGTATGGTGTACAGTGTTCCAGGTTTGAGCCCATCAATAATGTGGACATTTTGGGAAGTGTTTACCGCCTCTGAGAAGTGCCAGTTACCATCACCTAAACAACCAAGCACAAGGAGTAGTGCACAAGGAGCAGACATGTCCATTATCAGCTCTAATGCTAGCAAAAACTGTGTGGATGAGTGGTTGCCAAGAAATAAATGCTCCTTAATCTATCAATCAAATGTGTAGCACTGCAAATAACTTTAGGTACATCATAATAGATTTAGAGAAAAATAGTGATGATGAAAGCAGCCAGGGAACTTGGATGTATATTTTCCTTGTTTCTATACCTAAAACTTAACGTCACTTAAAGCTCCTATCAATGTTTAGCAAGTCAGGGACAGGAAAAGTAGCTTACGGTTATTCATATAAGCCACATAAAGCTGAAAGTCCTCCTGCTCCTCTCCGGTAGTCCAGCTGATTTTAGCAAAGGTGTCACTCACGTAAGAGCTTATGTTCAACAGAACTGGAACTGATAAAGAAAGAAGAAATAGGAAGAGGAAAAAAAAAAAAACCAGACAGGCACAGAGAAAAGGGGAGAGAAGGCAGGAAAAGAGGATTAACAGAGGCAAACAGGATCCCCCGTAGCTTGAGAACAGCGCTTCTTGCAAAAAGCCCTTTAAGAAGACAGTTCAAAAGCCAAGTATGGGCCCCAAACCTAATTGAGTGGAGCTGGATTTGGGGCTCATGAAGAGTAGATATATAGACCTTAGGAAGGCTTGACATCTAGTCTTCAGTCTGTATTAAGCAAAGCTGACATTTCCTGACAACCCCCCCCCCCCCCCAAGCAAGAGCAGATATGACAACAGATTGAAACGATTCCATGTCTCAAGCTTTATTGTGACTAGAAAGTTCAGATGTATCAGGTTGAGATCACATAGCTGTGAATGTGTGGGTGTGAGCCATGTACCTAAAGGAAAATGAGAAGAATTGCCCGTGATAGAGCTGGGAGCAGATAGGGAGCAGTTGGGATCTGCAATGAAAGAGAAACTACAGATGTTAGATTTCTGCGACAATGCTGTCAGTTCTTATAGAGCTACAGACTACATGAAGCCAGACATGTTAGAGCAAAAGAGGGAATTGTGCTAATGGCAGGAACAGCAAAGATGGCAGGGAATACGAAATGGAAACAAACCACAACACTCACAAATGCTTTTGTTTTTTCGTTCCCCTAAAACTATACATTCAAGTGTTACCAAGATTTTGCTCAAACAAACCACGACGGACAATTGTTTTTTTAAGGCTACAACCAGCTACAGCAACATCACGCCTACAACCTTGTCTATCTGGAGTAGCTGCATGAGCTGCAGGCTGCGATACATACTGTTCTGAACAGGGGCCACAGCTGGAGACCGGGTCGGATCTTCACAGGAAAGAAAAGAAAATGAAATACAGCAGAAGATTACAGATACATGGAGCGCCAGCTTCAAGGTTTATAGGCACCAGTACACACATGCTCACACACACCTGCGCGCACTAATAAATAACCGCCTGAACAATATATTTTTCTATAGGGATGCTTTAAATTTGGAGGTTGGTGGGGAGCTTTACTGCTATATGTGCTTTTTATTGTTGGACAACAAATTTTAGAAGCTGTAATGTTCCACAGGTGAATAATTAAAACAGATAAACGTCTGATTTATTTCAATTTGTCTATCAGTTGGATACATTTTGGAATAAATTCAGGGAGATGTAAAAACAAAATATTTTTTTTTGTTATAGATTAATTTAATTTGACAGATTTTTATCAACTAAATTTGCATTTGTTTTACTCATCTTATTGTCAAGCATGCACATGATGTGCACAGTCCAATTTTACTTTGAAATAAAAGGTTTTGCAGCTCTTCAGAGTTCAGCACGTCTTTGCTCTGACTGATGAATAATGTGATGATTACAAATGAAACCAGAAGTTGGCTGTTGTAATTATAACCTAACTTTTCAGTTTAATGCTATATTCAGACTAATAAAAACAAACTGGTGATGATGATATATGAGGTGATAAAACCAATCAATTTATCCCTGAAGGAGCTGCCTTTATGTTTTGTGACTTTGTTGTTTGTCTATAAAGCAAAACTTTCTCACAAGGTTTTCCAAGAAAAAATAAATAAATTATACGATCTACTTTTTAATTTTTTAACGCTTTCCTTTTGCCATTCTTCATGCTTTAGCCAAAATTCCTGCTTTTGTTTTCTTTTTGCACATGAAACTTCTCAAACAAATACATCTGGGCACACAAAAATCAGAGTGAAATGTAAAAAGAACACTGCAGATCCAAAGATCACTCATTTATATGCATTCATTTTGTATCAGCGTCACTCCATTTCTCCACGTTTATGGCCTTAGATTTATTGATGCCCTGCTCTGTGCTACTTGCATCCATAAATCTCTGCACTGCATTGTGACTAACAGGCCCTGAGGACAACTCTTTGAAACAGAACTATTTTATCCCCCCCCCCCCCCCCCCCATCAAGCCTCGGCACAAACTCATTTACAAATGATGCATCCGAAGGCTCTCAGGCTGGACATCAACCGATGCAAAGAGGCTCTACATCTGCTGGGGTTTACAGACAAATATAAAGTCGTCTGTCTTCTTATTCTTCTTTTATAGCTGACATATATATTTTTGCTTGCTTCCTTTTAGGTGATTATTACATATCCAATAATTTAGAGACAATCTAAACAAAAAATACACCTTCCTTCTCTTGGGGTCATTGATCAGAGAAAATCCATAGAGCCTAAGTGGATGAAAGTCCTGATTCACATGATTCACGCAGACCTTTTTGCAGCTCCACTGAATCATGAGTGACAAAGCAGCATCTAGTGTCATCTGTTAGCACTCAGGGTACAGGATGGGGATGATTCTCAGCCACTACCACATTCAATTTTAGTTCAATGCCATTCAAATCTAATAAGTTATAGCCACTTCTGTTTTGGCTAAGGTCAGTATGTTGTGCCACCTTGAATTAGGTTAAGTCCAAAGTTAATCCAACATAGATGACCATCCACTGGTCCACTTTCTTACAGTTTCATTAAAAATCTGCCTAATGGCTCTTGAGATATTTAGCTAACAGACAGGGTTGACTACAACCGTTAGGGAATTTTTGGTCAAAGGTGGATGTTTTTAACTGGGAATGTTAACTCAGCCATGAATTATATGTTTGGGTCAGCAGAGAGAGCTGGATGAGGAGATGGGTGAAGCTGCAACGTGCAGCTGGCTCAGAGAACTCCTCCGAGTCCGTGAGCTCGGCTGATAAGAGTATAAAAACAAGCTTCACACACGGCTCGCAGCAGATACTTGTGACTGATCTTCGTGTGTACTTCCTGTACATCTATGTCCTGAAAATATGACTTGTAAATGAGTCCCTGATGCTCACTGAGACTAACCTGTATAAATAAAGGTTGATAAAGGTTGACTGAATAAGGAATGTTGCTATCACAATAAATGAACACAAGCATGAACACACACACACACACACACACACACACAGGGAAAACACTTTATCTTATGCATTTTGCCTCTCAGAGGAAGGAGGCAAGTAACAAAAACAGAAGTTGTTTTATTGATATCCATCCAGCAAGCCTCATCTGGCTGATTGCTGCTAAATATACTTATATATGCACATATTTTCCTGCATAATTGCAGTCATTCTTGTAATAGGAGTGAATTATTTTTCCTTTATAATGATCCACCTGCAGAGGCGGAAATAATTGTTCTGCTTTACAAGTACACAAATTCTTGATTAAAACAAGGAAACTATTTTGACTATATTTATAAACATTTATTTGTCCAATACTTTCAGTTTGAAATAATTAACACAAGATTGTGGTTTAAAACTCTTTTTTTCAATATACTAATTTCTGAATATCTTTTAGATTTTGTAAAAAACAAACAAACAAAAAAAAAACTAACTGATACAAAGAGCAAATAAGCCAACACTTTGTTTGCTTCTTCATTTAAATTTTTTTTATTTTTTTTGCAACTCAAAGGGCATGTAGTTTTAGTGTTTAATAGATCCATATCAGTCTCATAATAACATGCACAAAAGTGATGTTAATGACTTAATGACCAATATAATGTTTGACTTTCAGACAGAGCAGAAGGAAAGCCGCAGGTGGCTGAAAGTAAACTGACTGCGTTATAGCTCAGCGGACTGGCTGCAGCACCACAATGATGGGTTTGCTGTCGACAAAAATTGATCAGAAATTGGTAAATCTTGAATCTATTAAAAATTTTACACCACCACTACAATTAATAATATCCAGTCCAATACATATCAAATTCAAATTCATGTATTTGTAATTTTAATTTGTTTTCTGCCACACTTTTCCCTTCCCACAGACTTCCCACTGAGGTGCCTTGATACAGCACTCTGGGAACAGCCTATTCGTTCAGCAATTGCTTTCTGTGTCTTACCCTCTTGCTTGAGGGTGTCAATGATGGCCTTCTGGACAGCAGTCAGGTTGGCAGTCTTACCCATGATTGCGGTTTTGAGTAATGAACAAGGCTGGGAGTTTTAAAAAGCCTCAAGAATCTTTTGCAGGTGTTTAGAGTTACGTTGTTGATTCAGATGGTTAGGTTAATAGCTTTTTTAGTGAACCTTTTCATGATATGCTAATTTTTTGGTACAGGCATTTTGGGTTTTCATGAGCTGTATGCCATAATCATCAGTATTAAAACAATGAAAGACCTGAAATATTTCAGATGGTGTGCAATGAATCTGAAATATATGAAAGTTTCATTTTTATCATTACATTATGGAAAATAATGACCTTTATCACAATATGCTAATTTTTTGAGAAGGCTATATATATATAAAAAAAAGATGTTGGGCGAACGCCCTGGCGGTCAAGTGAATTTTCCAACTGCTTTCATTGAAAAATGTACAGCTTCACCTGTTTAAACGCTGTTTATGGAAAACATTCAATGAGATCCAATAGTATGTAGATGTAAAAGAGAGTTTAACAAATGTTTGTTCTATTATATTTAGTTTCTTCATGTCTTCTATAAAGTGTGAGACAAAAAGTGTAGATCTTGAGGAAAAAATGAAGGATTAGTCTAATATTACATGGTGGGAGAATCAAACAGTGCATTAACATGAAAGTTATTTCTGTGTGGGGTGTAGAAAACAAGATTTTCTTTTTTCTATTTATAGGCTGAAGAGATGACTAAGATCTATAGAAAGGTCTTTTAGATATCTGTATCTGCACTTAGTCTTTGTGCTTCAAAAACACTTTTTTTTTTATTCTCTAACCAAAGCTAAAGCAAACATTAGACCCACTTCCAGCACTGATTTAATCTACTTACCTTCTACAGACACAGTTCTGCTCTCCTGGGCCTGCGGAGGTCCACAACCTGCTTGAGTGCAGGCGCTGAGGTGGAAGCGGTAGAGACTGCCCTCCTTTAAACCCCTGAGCTCCCAGTGCGTGATGTCAGCCCCAGTGATGTTCGTCTCCCGGGAATCAATCACCTCCAGTGACGTCTCATTTACTACAAACGAGAAAGAAAGATGTCAGGTCAGTTTAGATCACACAAAGCCCACGATGAATCAAAAAAGGGAAGAAAAAAAAAGTCTTCACTGTTGGGTCATGTTGTATGGTAATGCAACACAACTATAATGGGGGTCAATGTTTGAGAGAGAAGAAAAAGGCGAAGAGATGTCATGCTAGATCATACGGAACGTGAATATGGGAGATGCAAGTCGTGACAGGTAAGCTGAGGAGGAATACATTAGGATGAGAGCAAGGAAGATGAAAAACTCAAGAGGATCAGGGTGTAAACAAGTGGCGATGAACAAGAAAGGACATAGTGGAGATGTGGAAAAAGAGCATCAAAACAAATGAAAAATTATGAAATATTAAGGAGTGAAAGCTGTAAAAACAAAGTAAGAAAAAAAAGACAAATATATCCAAAGAAGTACCAGGTGGGAAGCACAAGTACTGTAGCAAATTATATCACCAAATATGATACATCAAAGTAAAATGTGTGTGTAGAATGATGGAAGCCGCACGCTTATTTCTTATTTCAGCCACGCTCCGTGATGTCACTCCTGCGCAAATGATGGGAAAAATCAGGTGAAAGTTGACGAGCCAAATCTTTCGTACCACATGGAACAAAACGCTGTATGTTTTAGTTTTCTGGTGACAACAGATTACTCATTCATTCATCACACAGCTGCTTTGTTAAGTGCAGATTGCACGCATTCCGTAGCACAGCACGTTATATTTTATTTATGCAACTAAGTGTGAACAGAATTTAAAATGCATGTTGGTTAAACAAAAAAAAAAATAAAAAAAATCCCATTCAAACACCTACAAATCACACTGGTTGGGAATAAATGTGTAAAGTCTGACATCTGATATAGAGGAGAATGGGGGATGGGGGGCGGTGTAGTGAAGAGCTGGACAGACTTCGTGGGTGCAGATGCAGGAGGCGAAGGGCTGTCTCTGCATTCACATTTCACACAAAAGACTTCAGAAATGTCAGCAAACGCGAGTGCAGGCTTTGAAAACAGAGATCATAATGAAAGCTTCCTCGCTCACTCGTTCACCTCAACAGTACTACAGGATAAAGGCGCTTTCTTGCACGAGGAGAGATAAATGCCAGTAAAATTTACACAGGTGGCACAACCAGCAAGGGCTTAAATGTTTCTCCTGTGGAAAGAAAGAAAAAAAAACCTGGAGTCCAGGCAGAGATGAGATAAGACACAATAAGGGAACTGTTGCACCACGATCTGAAGTGGAATGCACAGTGTGGTGGAGCGTTCAGTGTTAAACAGTGCCACCAACTGCCTGCCAAGATAACACACAGGGAGCAAAAAAAAAAGCAAGGCACAGAGGAAGTTTGTGCATGTGGACTTTTAGATTTTCAGGATGGGAAACAAACCTTCTGTAAAGATAAGCTGTAAGATCGCAGGTCTGCCCCCACCACATCTTCCTCCCTCTGACATTTTCCTTTCTTACTTCCCCTCTACTAACAACACAACACCCGGGCTCACAGTTCGCCCACAACACTTCACACAAAACAAGAAGCCCTGAGCTACAATAAAGAGAAAAGTATTAATGAAAAAAAGTCCCATAGGTTCAAATATCTGAAATGGGTATATGAACAGGCTGTGCGTGTGCGTGTGTGTGTGTGGACATACAGAGGTGATGCAGCAGGAAATAACCAGACAGGATGCCATTTGTCACCAGCGGCGGTCCCCACACCAGCAGCACAGAGTTTTTCTGAGTGTTGGAGGCGGTCAATATAGGCACCGGCTCTGGAACTGTAGAAGAACAACATAGCAAAACATTTACTGTCTTGGTGACACTTAGCAGCATCAACAAGAATTACAGTGCACATGGTCATCATCAGGGCCAGGCATAAGCAAACCAAGTGGCTGCTTAGGGCCCCGGGGCCACTAAGTGGAAGTGGAAGCACTGGTTTTAGGAAGTTTGTGAAGTACTGAGGAAGAAGTAACAAACAGGTCAAATGTGTGAGTAAAGGTTGCTTAATATGTATTAGTTCATTCCAACAATTTTCAGTCAGGTCATCTGGACAGTTTCTTTTTTTTTTTTTGTGCTGAAACTTTTCCCAGTTTCACAGGTATACAATCCACATTTCACCACACACACACACAAAAACAAAAAAACAAAACTGTCCAGATGACCTGACTGAAAATTGTTGGACTGTATACCTGGATTATTGAGCATGGACTTTGTTGGTTTTGAACCAGTTTGACATGACTGTTGACGAGGGAGAGGGCCGGCACCGGAGGAGGGGGCGTGCCAAAGACACCATCTTAGCACCAACATAACTGGTTTGTTCCACTTTGGAGTAAGCTGTTGGGGGAAGAATCAGTTTTGTGTTGTGTGTTTCCGTGACTGATGAAGCCTTCCGGATCGAAGGCGAAACGTTTCAGCACAAAAAAAAAAGAAACTGTCCAGATGACCTGACTGAAAAATGTTGGATTGCATAATGGTGTTTTTTTCTTCTTATGTTATTTTTAGTACCACTAGATCGCATGTGTCGAACTCAAGGCCCGTGGGCCAAATCTGGCCCGCCGTAACCATATGTGTTTCTCTCTACACCCTAGATGGCCACAGAAACAGAACTTCAAGATAACAGTTGTGTGCGTCAATATTACTTTATCAGTCAAATCAAATCAGTTTTTATGTTCATAATGCCAAATTACTCAAACATGAAATATTTAATTTTTAGAAGTAGTCGTCGAATGCAGAGAAAGTTATCTTCTACCTGTTTGTTAATAGGTAGTTTTATCAATACATTCTTGAGCCTGATGTGGCCCTAACTGAAAATGAGTCTGACACCCCTGCGACTAGATGATATGAACATAGAGGATAATGTAAAATGGGCTGTCAGAGGTGCAATGAGTTTATGTTATGTTGGTGAATGATCTGATCATCTGACTGTTGATTGCAGTAATCCACATTATTAGCAGAAATAGAGGGCCCCAAACCAAATCTTGATTAGGGCCCCATGGAGGTTTGGGCTGACCCTGGTCATCATGATTCGGTAAAGGGTTAGAAATAATGCCAGAAAAGAATCTAAAAAATAAAATTAACAAACCACAAAGTAGGCCAAATCAAAGTCTATTCTTTAGAGTTTTATGGTGGCTGTGATGAGCGGAGAATTTTCCGTCTGTGTTACTTCTCCAACATTATCATTAGTGCCTAAATACAATCGCAGCTTCACCTCTGAAGCTCAACATCTACTTGAGATGGCACTAAGAAACTGGGGAACACTGTAAAATGGACCAAGTGAATGAGCTCCTTCTGAATGTTGACCAAACAACGAAGGTTGACTTTACAGACTAAAATCTTAAGACACAAGTTATTTTTGCATTTTGTGCCTTAAAATGGTCAATGCAACATTTTTTTGCAGCTGTTAGGACATAAACAACCCCAGTCCACCTATATTGTGACCTGGATCTACAATCTTCCTTCATTTCATGGGAGAAGATTGTGATCCCCTCAGAATATAGAACAATTTCCATCTATCTTTTTGGGGAGACGGGGCAGTTAATGGCCTTGTCACCTCTGTTTAGGAGCTCGACTCTGCCAAACAAACCGAGGCGAACGTTGCTTTCTGCCCCCTTGCTGCGCATGCATCTCTGCAATAACACTGCAGAAAATCTTGTCCTGAAGAATCATGATGGAGGAGGTAGAAGATGTGGAAAACTGCAGGTAATAGAGTGTGCACCAGAACAACAGATGGGCCTTACAGATGAGCACAAAGAGGAGATGAGCAGACTATATACTGAGGAAATTCAGACTAACCAGTGTTAAAATTATCACACATTCTTTTCTGACACACTACTACAAATAAATAAATAAATCTGTATCTTTGTTTTTTTTTCTCAACAATCCTTTGGGATGCGATCAGGATGTTACAAACTTTTTTTTTGGGGGGGGGGGGGAATGCATTATTATTAAGATGTCACATATCCACTAGAGTGGACATCATAAATCCATTAATGCGGAAATTAATAATGAGATAATATTAATCTATGGCAATCAATGTGATAATAAATGTGTTCCGATATAAATTCTGTAAATGACAGGCCTAACGTATGTGTTCAGTAAATAATTTTCTTGAGAATACAAAATCCAGCTGAGCACTGAAGTTAAATTTCCTTCAACAATTTGCAGAAACATTCTCTGCTTCTGAAAATGTATTCATTCCTTTGCTAATTGAAAAATACAGAACCAAAATTATTAATAAAATGAAAAAATTATAATAGCCAGTATGAAGGACATATTAAACACTGTAATAATAAGCTCAAATATTGTTGCACTGCTTTCGAAAATCACTGAAAGGGTTTTAAGAAATTCATACAAAAATGACTTCATTGTAAGACAAAAAAAAAGCTTTTTTTCTTTCTGCAAAATCTTCTTGTGATAATAGACACCATATTATTGTGAAGGGAACAAAAGACGTTCCCTGCTCTTACAAATTTGCTATAACTTTGAGGACTAATTGTCTTATTTAGAGCACAAAAGAGAGTTAGCTCAGTTATATGCAGGAGGTGGGAGATCTTAATTTTTTACAAATGTCCACTAGAAGAAACAAATTTGAGGTAACAGGAAAATATTTATGACACACTGTCTGTGTAGCTGCTCTTTTGGTGATTTACTTTAATAATACAATAGTTCTTATGATATAAATTCTGTTGTGATTTGTTTAAACCATTTTAAACTTGGGGTATAAATAAATCTAACAAATAAAAAAACTACATCCCATACATGTATGAAGATTTGTGCAAAATATATATCTTTGTCTATGTTCAATAGGCATACTTTTAATGTATTGGAGGTTTGATAACAGAAAAATATGTCCATCAGTCCATCCATATGTTCAGCACACTAATTGTTTTATTTGAATTAGACTTCCCACTCGTCCTTGAATTGGCCAGCTATCTCAAACTTCTCCTGGTTGTTCATGTGAACGAGAAGCTCCCCCCCCCCCACTCCCATCGCTCCCCTCGTGAGGACATCTGTGGAACTGTGTCAGAGTTGAGCCGGCTGATAGACACTGTGCCATCTTTATCAGGACTATAGAACTTTCTGGCAATGTCCTCTGACAACTCACTGCCCTCGTCGGTCTCCTCATGCATAAATGTATAATGTCATCAGTATGTTGCTGCTTTATGTGCCGAGGTCATTTTTTTGCAACTTTCACACTCTGTCCTGTTTAGGACAAAGTGCAAGATTTTTTTTTAACACCTCCACTCCCCCTCGTGTTGCTTTTCCTTATCTGAAAAAAAAAAAAAAAGGCTGTACCTCTCGAGGCCGGTGGCCTCAGTCACCTCCGTCTCCTCATGTTTGTTTGTTTGTTTGTTTATTTATGTTTCTCTCGGACGGGCTGTACTTGAATGTAATTTTGCTGGGCTTGACAATGCAATGACAACAAAGCTGATTCTGATTTCTCTTCACCTAGCTGTTGTGTCACAGAAATTGCAGATTCAGGAGGGAAAACCAGACTTCTGTCTTCCCAGAGACAATCTTCATTTCTGAATTTTGTTTTTTCCCTCTGGGTTTCCTCCCAGTGTGACACGTTCAGAAAACCTCCAGAGGAAGGCACCCAGGAGGCATCCTGACCAGGTGCTTGAACTACCTCAGCTAGCACCTTTCAGCATGGAGGAGCATCAGCTCTACTCAGAGCTCTCTTAAGATGCCAAGTCTCCTTACCTTATCTTTTCAGGCTGAACCCATCCACTCTACTGAGAGAGCTCATTACAACAGCTTGTATTTGGAATCTTGTTATTTTATTTTATTATTTCATTCATGACCCAAACATTATGAAAGGTAAGTATTGTAATCTGGCTTCCCTGCTTGGCCTTGAATAGGCCAGTTATCTCAAATTCTCCAAGATGTTATGTGAATAATGATGCTCTTCCCTTCCTCCTACCCCCCTCTCCCAAGGACATCTGTGGGCCTTATCAGAACTGAGCCTCTGATAGACACTGTACCATCTTATCAGAACTATGGAACTTTCTGGTAGTGTCCACGGACAACTCACCACCTTTGTTGACATCTTCATGCATAAAAATATTATGATGTCATTGTATGTTGCTGTTTATGTAGCAATTTTTTTTTCAACTTTCACACTGTGCCCCAGCCAGGACATAGTGTGAGATATGATTTTTTATTTTATTTTTTATCTCCTCCACTCTCTTGTGTTCTCTTTTCCTTATCTACTTTGTATGTCTGTAACATGCCTCTCTTGTAAATGAGTCCTCAAGGCTGAATGGGACTAACCTGTATAAATAAAGGTTGAACAAAATGTAATGTATATTTGTAACCCACACCAGACCAATGCCCCCATTACTGCAGACAAGGCACTGACTCACTGATTCATCTCTCACTCCATCCTTCTATCACTTGTATGGTACCTGAGCCCCTTTTCTTTAAGACTTGACTCACCCCTGAGCAGCAGGGAGAGTTTCATCATTTTTCATCGTTGAGAAAAATGACCAGTCTTAGAGAAAACAAAATAACTCTTGTCTAACTGTTGAAGATAGTTAGACTCCCAGCTTTTAATCTCAGCATCTGAAGGGCAGATAGCAAGACAGTAAAGAGAGATAAAGTCAGGAGAAATGGCATTTAGGCTTTAAGGATAAGCTGCGAGAACATAAAATCAATATGAAATCTGATAGAAAGCCAGAGAAGTGAGGTAAACACGTGTGTAAGAATACACAGCAGCATTTTGTTCAAAGATGGTAACACACATGTCTTACTTCAAGTCTGATTCAGTGTTGAAATATTTTGGGGAACACTTGCATCAAAACAGGGTTCTCCGTTTTATGTTGAAATTTAACTTTTTGCAACAATTTTCTTTGAAGATTGACAATGTCTCATTTTTGCACCCTGCCCAGTAAAGTGTGGGGTTATCTGGTGTATGTATTTGTGTCATCTCACCTCCCTCTGGAGTACCGAAGGTGACTGGGTCACTCTTGGGCCCTTTTCCCTTCTTATTGAAAACATTGACGGTGAGTTTGTACTCTGAGAAAGGTTCGAGCCCCGGCACCATCACATGACTCCTGTCTCCAGGAAAAGACATCGAGCTGGACCTATTTAAAATCTTGCCGGGGTTCAGGAGACTTTTGATCCTCTGCCAGTAAACCTGTGAGGTGGTGGTATGTAGTTGGAAGGTTGATGGAAAGACAGGAAGAGCAAAAAGAACAAAAGAAACATCTGGATTATGAAGTAGCCACTTCACACTCTTCTATTTTACAATACGACAGTGCCACCTGCATACTTCTAAAGGCAATGTCCACACAGGTAACCGAATAGACTCACTTAATTTTAAAAAAGAAGAAGAAATTATACAAAATTTAATGAAAATGAAATGAGTGATATTACTTGTTATCTAAAACTCCAACAGGCAGCCTTTAAAAAAAACCCACCAGATGTCATACTGGAGCTGAAGAAACATTAAAAGCTATGGCCTGTGGTACTAATGGTACTCTGAAATGCCCTCAAAAACACATAAGCAAAAAGGCAGGTCAGCTGGTATGATTTTATATTAAAAATGTACAAAATATACAATGAAAAACACATTTCCTGCGTTTTTTTTTTTTTTACATTAATAATACAATATGCTTAACTTATAATTCAACCCTAAAAATTCACTGTGTGTACAAGAACGTCTCATTGTTAAAACTTGTCCAGCACAAGTTGTGTATATCCATTTCTGAACAGTGTTCCTCCAATAGAGTTTTTGCAGCAGGGTAAAGGATAAATCATAGTGAAACATAGGTTTTACAGTTTTACAATTAGAAAAACTCTGTGCTAAAATAAAGTGACTAGCTTCAGTGTTAGCGCCATATGGGAACGTTGCTATAAAAGTATTTCAGATTACCACAGAACTGAAAGCACTTCCATATAAAATTAAATAACAGATGTGTTGCTGTCAAAATCACACAACAACTGTATTCAAATCATCCCAATCAAAATATGGCTTTCACAAACCAATAGAGTTGCAAATTTGTTTTTTCACAAAATGCAAGTTAAAACTTTATTATTATCTCATATGTAGTGCATTTTATAATATATTTAATCTAAGCAGATTTAAGCTACTTTGCTTTAATTTAGTGTTTTTATATGTTTCATTATTATTTTTAACCTATGTGTCACACAAACACTTACATTATAACCCCCTAGATGACCTCGCACTGTGGCTGGAGGAACAGGCGTCCAGCTGACTAACACCACAGTGGAGTTGATCACCTCGACCGCGACGTTCTGCGGTGCTGCAGTAGGTACTTAAAAAAAAAGAAAAATGCACAAGAAACAAAAATAAAAGAACATGAAACAAGTTAAATAAATAGGCAAATAAATGTAGCTTAGGTAGAATTTTTTTGCAAGTTTCATACATACACACACACACACACACACACACACACACACACACACATACACATATAATATATATGAATGTATGTATGCACACACACACACACACAAACACACACAAGTACATTTTCTATTTAAAGCTACATAACTCTAGATATCAATGTAAATCAGTGTAAGTGTACAGAAGCACTGAAGATAAAAGAGAACCAGCAGAGCTTCAGTATAGGCTTAAAGCACATGGTGAGTTGGGATCTATAAAATCTCCAACAGCTTCTGACTCAGCGGTGGAAATTTGACATCTCTCTCCTACACAAAGGTCATCTGACACCTGCTAGATTTAACAGTGCTGGTGTTTTTGTATCCTTCAGGAGGGTCAAAGGGGAGGAAAAGTCACTTCTGCACATCTGAACAGGGTTAAAACCTTGGGTAAAAGGAAATAAATAAAGAAAAGAACTTAACCTGACACATTCTCCTGCAGACAATGCCAAATGACAACTGAGGATGCAGTCAAGAAGAAAAATAGCACATTGAGTTAAGGAGGGAAGAACAAGCAGATGGGGCAGATAGACCACGGTATGTTATTTAAGCCAATTCAGCTGAGTGTGCGAAAATGTCAAATAATAAAAAGGTAAATAATGACAATACTGTAATGACATTTTGTTTAACTCACCATCTTCTCCAGAGTAACCTGTGACAATTTTAGGTTCTGGACCTGAGCCGAAGCTGTTCCTGCTCTGGACTTTGATCTCGTAGGGAATAAAGGTGGGGGTGTCCTTCACGACAAAGGAGGGTCTCTGGACCAGGTGGACCTCCCAGTCATCTTGTACCCCCAGTTTTCTGTAGCTCACATTGTATTCAAGGCCCGGGCCATTGTACTCAGTCGGCAAGAGTGGCTACAAAATAAGAAGGTACAATTAACTTAGAAATGACAAAAAAGTCATTTAAAACATAATAAAATTAAATCATTTCTTACATCCCAGCTGATGTCCATTTGATGAGGAAGGTGGCCTTGAATTTTGATATTTTCTGGGTTTCTGTCTGGTGCTTTGAAAAAAATTCATCATAAAAATAAATCAATCATTAACATTCTTTTTAGAGCAAGGGTCGAGCTTCTGACCTTCAAATAGTGTAAAAGACATGTAATCCCAAATATCCTTGGCTGAACTATACAAATGTTAATTCAAAAGTAAATAAGGCCAAAATGTTAACACAATATATAAATTCATATTATGCTACCTTGACCCCCCCATGACTAGTGCTGTAATATGCTAGTACTAGCTAACGTAATTTCCAGACATGCTTTGAACACCGCGGCTTATGCACAAGTACGGCCTTATGTACAAAATTATCATTATTTTTTATTTAGTGGGCATGGCTTATAATCGGGTGCGTTCAATAGTCTGGAAATTACAGTATTTTGTCTTTTACTTGATTCTTTAAGATTATTTTAGGACTTCAAACCTGGTCTTTTGTGACCCAGAGTGGGGTTCAGACCCTGTCTTTGGAAACCATTGATTTGAAAAGCTTAAAGTAATCTGGTAACTGCACTCGCTGGATGCATATTTATACTGCTGGTATTCTAAAAGCAGCAGCCTGACAATAAATAACAATTTCCTGGTTTCAGTGACCTTAAAATAATTACCCCTGACTGCTTCAAACTATCATGGGGAAAGGCTGACTTTTAGACGGTCATAATGTGGGGATAAAAGGTTCAAAGCTGGATTCTTTAACAATCAACAGTCAAAAAATGCTAATAAAATAAAGCAGGTCTCACCAGCAGGGGATGTTGGGTATCTCTCAGTTGGCTCGCTGGGTGGTCCAGGTCCAATGGCATTAACAGCATACACCCTGAACTGGTATTTAAGATTTCCCTGAAGAAAGAGCTCAGCAGTTGCCTGGTTACCAGCAACTTTCTGCAGCTCCTTCCACCTGCCAGCTTCCCAGTGGCTCTCCTCATACTCCACCACAAATTCTGTCCACACACACAGGAGACAATTGCATTCAGCCATACAGCTAATAGTCACAGCTGATAATAGGGTAAAATAGTCATTAGTCTCTAATAGGTGTGTAATTAAGCACTTTCATTCATTACCAAGAGACAGTTATTGTAGTTCTGGTCAGGAGAGAAAATTCTCACTCAGGACTTGACTATTTGTTGACTTCTTCCACAGTCCCCATGCAACCTTTAACCATACCTTTGTCTCCTGGCTAATTTTCAGTCAAAGTTTACAAATTTCATCATAAAATACTGTGAAACTTGCAGGCATGTCATAGATCCCAAGGCAAGTTTTAATTTTACAGAAGTGGGTCTTGGTTGTACTTGATACATGCAAACGCACGCAAGCATGTAGGTGGCATTACACACAATCTCGCTGCTGCCGTCACATTTTTTTCTTATCAACATTTTGATGGCAATGTGCCAAGAAATCCAGCAGAGTTAAAGGAAAAGGTAAGAACGAAGCTGCTTTTCCACAGAAGGTGAGATGTGATGCAGATAAGAAGACCTCCTCTCTCCACAGCTTTGCTCACCTTGTTCATTTGCACTGAACCACGTGGCCTGCAGCGTGAGCTTTCAGATCTAATACTGATGTTGTGCGATCACATGTGTGAAATGAAACTCACAACAGATGCTCCCTGGCATGGCATGGTTTACGTATGAGAGGAGACAAACACAACAGAGTGTGCAAGCACACACATGCGAAGTTTGCAAATAGATATTAAGTGCTGGAAACCATATCAGGGAGACGTGTGTCTCATTTATGTTTCAGTAAAGGATTTAATTTGTTTTCTGCCTCAAGGATACAAACCCTGTATTGAATGATGGTAAAGATGTAAACAGCACTAAGGTTGAGACTTGAACAAGTGTATCTGAACATCTGATCACTTAAACTATGAAAAATATGAAACTGAGTCATAATCGTGGTCATATTTATTGGTAACTTCAGTTATTCTGTGCTTGTTTTGCAAAACAATTTTATCAAACATTTAAACATGGAGGGCAGCACAGTGGCTCAGTTGGTAGAGCTGTTGCCTCTCAGCAAGAAGGTCACCGGTTCAAATCCCGGTACGGGAACTTTCTGGGTGGAGTTTGCATGTTCTCTCCATGCGTGTGTGGGTTTTCTCCAGGTACTCCGGTTTCCACCCACAGACCAAAAACATGCATGTTAGACTGACTGGAAACTCTAAATTGTCCCTAGGTGTGAGAGAGACAGTGAATAGTTGTTTGTTTCATTTGTCTCTATGTGTCTCTGTGATGGACTGGAGACCTGTCCAGGGTGTCCCTCACCTCTCGCATAGTGATTGCTGGATATTAGAGCTGTCATTTCTAACCTGAACCCGGAGCCCGGCTCGGATTCGGACTGGGCCGGTCCATAAGAATGTGCTTAATGTGCGGGCTGGGTCAGGCTTTTGATTGCGTCAGCGGACGTGCGCGGCTGACGATCCAATATATGGTAACATGGCTTGCCATACTGTCACCTGCCACACACGGCCATTTGACCACGAGCTAACTGTCCTTGAAAGAGGTAAAAAGTTCAGTTAAGTTTCAGATGGACTACTGCCAGTGATCCATCGCCCGAATGGATGTTCATTCAGCTGCTGCACTTAGCGGACACGCGTGGCCGATGACCCAAACAGGTGACATCCCAAGATATCCGACATGTCAGAGCAGGGTCCAGTGCACGCAGAAGAAGGGGAAGCATTTAATACGCTTTGACGTCCATGAAGGGACAAACACCCCCTCAGTCTGCCCCGTTACTCAGCCACGCACATTCAGTTACCGTTAATAACAATATAAGCAGTCAAAGCTTAATTAATAATGTGCGTGTGGGGGTGGGGGGGGGTGGGGTTTCGGACCTGTAATTACTATTAATTTATCGGATCGGGTGGGGTTCAAAAATGATGACTCCGGGCTGGGGCCAGGTCGGATTTTTTTGGACCCAAATGCAACTCTACTGGATATGGGCACTAGTGACCCCCGCTACCCGAAAAGGAAGAAGCGGGTAAAGATGGATTAAAATATACAAATATATAGAAAATATATTAATTCATAAAAACGTGTTGTTTATGTTTAGGCTGCTCCTTTCAGCTTGGGTCACCATAGGAAATAAACTCACATGAAAGATCTCACAGTTGTATTAGGTCAGATGCATTTCCTGAAACAAGCTGGATTCAAACCTGCAACCTTAGGATTAGAGAGCCACATCACTGACCTCATATTTAATAATAGATTAAGTTAATATCACGGTAAATACAATAAATATTATATAATTCATGTATTCATGGCAGTTTTGTGATTAAACACTACCCAACACAAGGTTTTGTTTGCATGTATATATCTGACATAAATACGTATTTATACATTTCAATATACAGTAGTACCTCATTTATGACAGGGGATCTGTACCCTGAAACCTCCCTATAAGTTAAGAACCACAAAGTAGGGATAGTACCGGTAGTACAAGTAGTAGTTTACTTTAGTATACATATATAAATATAACGTTTATCCTCTAGTGTGGGCTGCACAGAGGTGCAGCAGGTGCTAAATAATTTAAAATAATTTATTTTAAATAAAAATTCCATGCCGATCGTGCGGTTCATCCATCAGTCAGCCATTTGTGTGTCATGTCCAAGCTTATCTTGAAAAACCGCGATAGAGCGAGTCTGCAATAAACGAACTGCGAAGTAGCGAGGGACTACTGTATTCATAAAATAAAACTGAGGATAAGATGCTTTTCCAGCTGCTTTAATACGATTCTAATTTATTCAAATGAAAAGTATAAAGCATCTTATGTAGATTTAAAAGTACTCTATAAGTATAAAAAACGTAAATATGTTGTCAAGTTTTTCTATAAATAAAATAGAATGTAAAAAGTTTACCAGCATGTACTGTTTTTGTAATTCCATCATTATAGGTCGTGAAGTAAAATGTAACATCAAACTGAATGAAAAAGTAGAGAGCACAAGCAGCTGCTCCTGATCTCTGGTAAAAGTGCGTTCTCCATCAATTATTCAGCACTCCACCTACACACCCCTCCCCCATATCAAACTTCACATACTCCACTTTTATTTGGTTCAAACTTTTACCTGTGATAGAGCTGTTGTGATCACTCCCAGGTACCCAAGACAGAACAATATTCCTCTCCTCCTTGATGTCAGATATCTTTAAACTTGTGGGAGCATCAGGAACATCTGCAACATCAGTCGTTAAAGGTGCACAAAGTGTAAAACCTAAATGCATGGCCCAAACAAGAAATTTACCAAAACAAAAAACAATCTACATAACCTTACCTAGTACTGTTAGTACGGCAGTGGCGGCGTCCTCGTCTAGATGTGTTTTGGCGATACATTTATACACCCCCTGATCGCTCAGGTTCACGTTCATGATTCGCAGCAGGCCACTTTTCACAACGTATCTGCACACAGAGGAACGTTGCATTGCAGCATAGAAACAACATGAAGTTAGCTTCAAATATTTGAGGTAGAGTTTAGTAGCAAGGTTATAAACAATAAATATCTTGCCTGTTGTAGATAACGCTTTGAACAACATCAGATTGGAGGAATTGAGTTTAATTCTGAACAGCTAAGCAGAGGATCAAAGAGGATTGCTGCTCTCTTACAAAGCTCCAAAAAGACAAGTGTCATAACATTCCATACAAATTCTATAGTTTATAAACTGATGTCAGTTTTATATTACACTGTTAATCCAGAAGATTAGATAGACAGACAGACAGACATCTGATCTGCTGCACCATTTGTGCTACAGCTAGCTGCTGCTGCTATGTCCACTTACAAATAACCATAAATTGCTAAACAAGATGTTTTTTTAAGGTTGGAGTTGTTGGCTTTATGGTATAAAATATGAAAATTACCAGTAGTCCATAACAATACCTGACTAATAATCGTTACCCAAACAAAGTGTGACGTTATTATTAGTGCTAAACATTCACTTCCCTTCATCACAACAGACTAATAAAAGCTTTTGGTGGCTCCAAAGCTTTTGCTTCTGATGGAGTCAGTGAATACGGTCACCATGATCAGAAGCTCAACGAAGGGTTTATAGAAACACTACCAAAACAAAAAGCAGTTACCTGGAGTTTTCCTCAGAGGGGAGTAAGATTTCCTCCTCATCCTTCCTCCACAGCACCTCAAAGGTGTCCTGCAGACTTTCATCATACTCTGCCTGACACGTCAACTGGGCCAAAGTCCCACTGATGATCTGCATATCTCGCGGTGGATTAACTATATTTGTGGGGTCTACAGGTAAAAAAACAACATAAAAATCAGAGACAGACCTTAAACAGATATAATGACGATGATGTGTCCTATTAAGTTAAAGCCAGAAAAATAATCAACCCTAATCCCAACATGCTACAAATAACATACATAAAGCTGAAGTGACTCACTGTAAAAATGAGTCTCCCAGTAACTGACTCTTTGATGGGAGAAATGACTAAGTGTTTAATTAATCTGTAAATGAGCTTAAAACTGTTTCAAATGCTCTTCCATCACATCCTTGTTTTTGCAGCATCTTTTAACAACAGCAGTTAGAGATTAAGTTCAAATTGAGATACTAAGATGTTAGATTATTCAGGCCGACCCTGTTTTTTGGAAAAGGAGTCCACAAACACGCTGCCTCGTTTCACCAGGTTTCATATCATTTTGTGCTAAATATTAATATCCAAAGCAGTTAAGTCCAATGACAGTGATTAAAGTGATACAGGAAGTGTGTTGCTGACATACCTTTCACATCCAGCACAGCTGTGAGAGTTGACGTGCCCTCTGTGTTTCTGGCCACACAAACATAATTCCCACTGTCACCTTTTTCTGTGCCGATAACGTTCAATGCTTGTCCATTCTCAAAAATATGGAATCGCTCCCCTTCAATAGCCGTCTCCTCTTTGGTCCTATAAAGAAGAGTTTAAAACTGATCATGAAGAATCTACAAATTATCTATTATCAATAAAGCAGATCAAAAGGCATTTCTCTTTGCAGAATAAATACAAAGTGAATTGGAGCAGAGTTCTTTCAGATAATTCAGTTTTAAGCTAAGCTATTAGGAAAGTAATTTAAGTTAGAGTGAAATAAAATGTGATTAGAGTGATTGACTGTTAATGAAATGTCGAATTTCATTTAATACAATCAATCATTAAAGTGTTTTTGCAACACTGAAAGCATTTTCAGACCCTATTGATTTGCTGTCAGACTCCAGTGATGTGTCATAGGAATGAGAATTTCAACGACAGGAAGATGATTATCTAATTAGACAAACACCAGACTGTAAGCAGTAGACTCAGACAGGAGCAGAGTGGGATTAATGCACGACTCTCTCATGTCTTACTGTGTATGTGTTACTGCAGTTAATTATGTAACCTGTTTATATATTAAAGCAAAACACATTCTGCTTACCAGGAGATGTCAGATGGTGGAGAGCTGAAAACACTGCAGTTCATGAGGACGCCCCCTCCAACGATCACCTCATACGTCTGGAAGTTGTTTGTCAGAATGAGAGGAGCCATGTCTGAAAGCAAAGTGAGGGATGTAAGACAACAAAGATGTGAAGTTATAAAAAGCAGAAACACTATGAGCCTTTTTCCGATTCTGTTTCTTTGGAGGGTTAGGTTTGCAGTTTTGTCTGTGCTGTTCAAACACATCATGCTCAACGTGAGCTTCCATTGGGGTTAAAGTGATAAAATATTTATTATATATGTTATAAATCAATGCCATCCCATTTATTTGGATTATAAGTAATTTGGAGGAATGTCAATTTATAGACAAAAAAAACAAAACCTTTTAAAGTGAGAAAAAAATCTCTTGTAAAGTGAAAATAATGAACTCCCAAGTCTCTAAGAGCATTTCTGATTAAAGTATGATGAGTTTCTGCAGACAGTGCAGGCCCGACATCTTTAAATCTACTCACTCATGACCAAGACGTTTATGTTGGCCAGGATGCCGCCATGACGGTTTGAGGCCTCACACTGATAGACGCCGCTGTCCTCTGGCCCGGCTTTATGAATCACGACGGTGTCATCGAGCACTCGCCTGTTGTTCAATGGATCCTCTGACAACACGACGGGAAGCCAGTTAGGGTCACACAACCAACAAGCCAATCAGGAGAAAGGAAAGCTGGTTTTTAACTGCTTACCATTGGAAAAAATAATGCAAGTATTAACTTTTAACTATATTTTATCAGCACAATCTTTGTAACGTCTAAATTGTTGTATTGTGATGTCACTCTTGATTTTTAGTAGTGGGTAATAAAGCTTGTTTAAGGGCGTCTCCTATTTATTTAATTAGCATATGTTTTAGCCACTCCTTACAAATTCAATCAAAAGGCTAAGTGGTGCAAGTAAGGGTACGGTTAACAACAGAAATTTGACTAACCCTGTCACTGAAACCATTGGACTGTTTGATCTTAAAAAATGATTTCTTGTGGTGAAATTTTGAGCATTCAAACTGCTACGAAATGGTCAAACTTGTGGTACATTCAAGAGAAGACCGCTTTACTTTAACAGTTTTAGCTGACAAAGTCTCCATTCAGAATCTTGAGTGGTTTGAACCCTGAACTCTAAATCTTGCTGTTAAAAGGAAATTAATTTGGTAAATACCACAGCCACCACTAAAGTCACACGTATTGTTTCTGACCTCTGAATATTTTCCCGTTCCTCCTCCACGTTATGACTGGTGGTGGATTTCCACTGACCGAGCACTTCATGAGAACATCAGACCCGATCACGGTCAGCTGGCTCTGGGGAGGTTCTGTAAACCATGCAGGTGGCTCTGGAAGATGCCAAGATAAGCCATGTTGGTATCAGTCAAAACAAATGTTTGACCGCTTTGCCAACAGCTTTAACAGTGACGCAAGATTATTTGCACTAAGCATTTCTTGAATGAATACATATCACCCCCGTCACCTTGCAGGACAGCATTTTAAGCAGAGATTATGTATCTTTTAGTGTTTAATGCATATTTTGGAATGACCGTCAGCAACTACAACACCATGTTTTAACTTGGTGTCTGTAAAACGGACTGAGTTATAGCCAGTTTGTGTTTGATAAGTTTAATTAGCTGTGGCAACAGTTTTAAATCAGGTACTAAATCAAACAAATTCACAAGACATTTTGTTAGGCAGACAACCCCACACACACACACTTGCATTATCACCCACAAATCATGACAGTGGTCAATAACAAGTAAAGTAACAGCCTTCATGCTGATGCTGACTAACCTTCCACTGTGACATCAAAGTAATGAACAACCTTTCCAGCGGAGCTTTCAGCCGTGCACATATATTTCCCCTGATCCTTCTGGTCCACAGCACTGATGGTCAACAGCCTGTTAAAGTTGGTCAGTTTCACCCGTTCAGTCAGACTTTCTCCCAGTTTCATCCACGTTATACTTGGGATGGGACTGCAAAATGAAACAATGGCAAGTTAGCAATCCTGACAGCGATGTGAGTGTTGCATTAACAGTTATTGCTGGAGGTATACCAGTACATACAATCCTCCTGGTATGCACTCCAGCTGCAGATTTTCTCCTTTCAGCAACACTTTCTCTGTCTGAACACCAGAGGGTAGCAGCAGGCTGGGAGCTTTCACTGGTAAGTGTTCAGCTATATTTGACAAAAACAGTAAAGCTCCTCACTTAAGTGTACCAATGATCATTTAAATGAACCACCAAGCTTCTGGTGAGCCGAGTATTAACTTGTTGGGTAACATATTTTGATGTGACAATGACTTACTCGTGTTACCGCTGTCAGAGGAGGAGTAATTATCAGGTCTTACTGAAATAGAAACATAACATCAGGACATTAATACTGGTGATGAGAAATTCTTTATTTTGCCAACATGTATTGCTCAATATATTACCAGAACAAAATCCCCTTGAACAGAAACATGACAAAGCAATTTCTACTGCTGACAAATTTCAGATATTCAAAACGGCTTTTATCGGTATTGTGCCAATACATAGTAACAATTTGAGTTTTTAAAGAAATGAAACCTCACAATTTGTTAGAAACTTACATCGCTCAACCTTAATAACCATGGCGGTTTTCTGGACAATTGTGCGTATCTTGGAAAAGGCAGCAAAGCAACAGTACTCCTTGTGACTGTCCTTTGGTAAGGCATAGGAGAAGTAGAGGTCGCCACTGGTTCCCATGGAGACCCTCTCATCCTGCTCGATGTGCTGGAGACCTGGAAAACAGCAGGACTTTTAACTGTGAAGTTTCATGAATATAAATATGGATCTTTTTTATTATTATTATTTTCTTTGTGTATGTTGGCGGTGGATAGGGGACACACCATATGTAGCAACTTTGAGACTAGGTGGGAGTTTGCCACCTACATAGGTTTTGAGGACTTGGAGAGGGCCTTGGAGCATGGAGGGAAATCTGTGAGCATCAAAGTGAGGGTCTGTCATTTGGCTCTTATACAAATATACAAATGGTGTAGAAATCTGCAGGCCAGATCCTGTCAGGGTGAGAGTCAGACTCCACAAGGAGGAGATTTTGTTCATAACTTTTAAAGACAGAATTCCTCAATGCAGCCAGTGGGCAGAAGGATTCCAGTTTTGTGGCAAGATTCCATCTGTGCTATTTACAGATTGTGTGGTCCTGTTCGCGGCATTGTGCCATGATCTCCAGTTCTCACTAGAGCAGTTTGAAGCTGAGTGTGAAGCAGCTGGAGTGAGGATCAGCACCTCCAATTCTGAGACCATGGACTTAATTGGAAAAGGGTGGACTGCCTTCTGGAATGGGAATGAGGTGCTACCTCAAGTGGAGGAGTTAAGGTGTCTCAAACTTTTGTTCACAAGTGAAGGATAAATTGGGAGTGAGATTAACAGATGAAATGGTGCAGCTTCTGCCGTACTGTGCCTGTCCATTTTGGTGGAAAGGAAACAGAACTGCAAGGCAAAGCTCCCCGTTTACCGGTACATCTACGTTTTCTACCCTTACCTATGGTCAAAGATTCTGGGCAGTGACGGAAAGAATGAGATACAGCCAGTCAATTTTTTTTTTTTTTTTTTTTTTCGCAGCTGGATTCTCTCTCAGAGATAGGGTGAGAAGTTCAGTTATCTTGGAGAAACATAGTAAATCTGCTGCTCCTCTACATTGAGAGGAGCCAATTGAGATGGTTCTGGCATCTGGTAAGGGTGTTTCCTGGACGCCTCCCCAGAGAGGTGTTGTGGGCAAGTCCAACTAAATCAATTTAAATCACTTCTTGGTCTGTTGCCTTCATACATCTCCTCCTACATGTCTCTGCATGAGTGCAGTTACAGCGTGCGCTCTCAGAATATTATTACCTGCAGTGTTCCCTCAGTGAGGACTGAACTAGGCAAAAGGGCCTTCTACTACTCAGCTCCCGTTTCTTGGAATATCTTGCAAAAAGATCTGAAGCTCTCGACCTTGACCTCTCCAAGTGGCTTTAAGAATCTGGTGGACTCCTGGCAAGGACTAATGCAGACATGTTCTTGTTTTTAGTTTTCTACATTCGCCTTATGATCTAGCTAATTTGTACTTTTTTTGCCATCTTATTTTAATTTGTTTAAAAAAAAAAAGCTGTATACCTTTTTATAATTGCCCATTGTTGACATCGTTATTTGTTGAAATCAGGTCTCTCTTGTAAATGAGTCTGTGAGGCTCAATGGGATTAACCCGTCTAAATAAAGGTTGAATGAATGAACCAAGAGAAGAACCAGGATTTGATGGAGAGACTTCGTCTGTCAGCTGACCTGGAAATGCTTTAGAATACCATAAAGAAAGAAGAAAGCTGTGGTGGTAGAAAGAGAAGTTTATGCTTCCTAGCTCAAGCTGCTTACAACTCACTCTGGAACAAGTAGATTATAAATGTGTGGATACATTTCTTTGAAATGCCAAAATTACTCAGAAAACACAAGTTGTATCTAATAAACACACAGTGTGGTGTAATATGCGACAAGTGAATTGAAAATACCCTAAAGAGTTATTATGTAAAGACCCAGTGAAGTAAAAGTGATCTAGAATAGCATGTTTTTTTTAATAGGTTCCCAGTTCAGTGATGCTTTGTGTCATTTCTTGATCATGCCATGATCAACATGTAGCAGACCTTTTTAATACAGCCATATTGCATGGCTGTTTTATCAGTATGAGTCCAAAGAAAATATAATTCAGATTTAGGGCATCAACATTAAAAGAACTACTTTTCATGGGCAACATGATGTCATGAGTATAAAGATACAGATCTTCAGATGATCATCACAAATATGTTTTTGTCTTAGAATATTAATGCTCCTTGATGAGGACAATGTTTTATATTTCATCCTTTCCAACACCTGAAGTGAACTTAAAGCAAGTGTTCTTAGTTTTTATTCTTTGTGCCAGCCTACTTGTCCTTCAGAGCGCTCGAAAGGCTCTTCTGGTTTTCTTTTAACATCAGCTGGATTTGTTGGGTAGGAGTTGAGGATCTACAAGAGGTTGGACTGAAAATGTGACCCTCATAAAGCACTCGAGACAAAACTGAGGTCACCTTTTATATGGTAAATCACTTTTTCCTGGCAGTGATGGGAAGAGGCTCTGACGTGAAAGAACCTTGCCTCAAACATGAACCTGTTATCACCGCTAACTTAAATTATAGTCAACAGATTGATTCACAGGAGGAGTTTTTGAAGTTTGTTTTGAAAATGATTAAATATTATTTGACCTCAACAGTGAGCAATAACTTTCTAAAAAATAAAAAATAAAAAACATTTGATGACCAGTATCTTCACCCTCAGGACAGCATTTTGCCCAAGAAAAAAACATGTAGTTCTCTTTATGGTCATGTCCTAATCTAAGCCTGTATACTTACTGTACATACAGCCTACATACTTGTTTCAATACAATAAAAACAATTTAATGACCTCTTATAACTGTATATTCACTAAACAGCAGACTATTTATTCAATTATTTAACACCTGAAATCTTGGACCATGTGCTTTGAATATTTCAGCAACAGTGATTGACGCAAGCTTGATCAATAATGAGCCGTGTATCTAAGAGGAAACGAGCCAGGATTTGAAGTTTTATCTCATTTCATGTATTCACCTGTACACTTAAGGGAACAGAGAAGAAACAAGCAGACAGTTTAAACATTTATCAAAAAGTTTAGCTTGTTCATGAGTAACAAATTGCATTTTGTATCAATCTTGTTAAACTTTTAACTATTGATGGTGTGATCTTTTTGTTTGCAGAAGACAAAGCAACAGGGCCTCTAACTAATATGTTTAGATTCAGATTGGATCAATTTAAATTAAAAGTAGTGTGACTGGATTTTTGTTTTATTGGATGTAAAACCAGTATATGATTGTACTGGAAGGTATATTTTTACCTTGATAGTTTCATTCAGATCCATCCATCAGTTTGTGAGATTTCATTTGAGGTCACCCATTCAGGTCTATGATAACCTGAAACTGTTGGCATGCTTGAAATCCTCCTCCAGTATATATATTTTTTTGTTTAAATTTGACCAGAAATGGTCAAAATTCAGCCCTTATTTTTATTTCTGCCTCAGATGCATATTAAAATATGAAATAAGCACCCAGTTCACAGCTTATCTTTTGCATTTGCTGTGAATTATTGCCCTCCCCGTGATGTTCTTACTCAGATTGACATCTTTAAGCCATAAATCCTCTTAGAAATGTTGATATGCTCGTGTTGCATGAGGCTTGAGATGTGGAAGCACACAAAATTTGCATCTGGTTTGAAAAGAGATATACAAACTAATGTTGGGTTTGGTCTAAATAAACTAAACATCACACCTCCTTAGCTTACAAACGACTGCAGGACAGAATAAATGCACAACAGTCCTTCTGTCTCAGCTGCTGGTTTAATTGGCTGCTTGTCATATATTCTTCAGCTTCATATGTTTAGGCTAAAGGTATTACACAGAATCAAATTAAAACATGGAAGAGACTAATAAATTCAAGTTTATGGGTCAAACAAATGAAAACTTGGAGTTTGTAAACATTGTGCAACAACAATTCCATAATTGGAATTTGTAAATCAAGCTTAATTCACCTAAAAAGAAATTTACTGAGAAATTCAAACTTGTGTGTGGGTAGAAAAGATTTGTATTCATAAAAAAATAAAAAATAAAAACGTGTAAAGAATTAAAAAAATAGAACAGAGAAATAATGTGGTGACTGTTTATGGATTTAAGGCAAAAACATCAATAAATTAACAAATGTAAAACTCAAAGCTTAAATGTTCCCCATGTAGCTCAAATTGTAAATGTGAGTGTTTCAAATAGGCCTGCCACAATAACAAATTTTGCTGGGCGATTAATTTTTTCAGAAATCATTGCAATAAACGATAATATTGTTTGAAATTTGACAATAATTAGTAATGCTAAATTTAAGAAGAAATTGTGGTTATATTTATATGTAGTCCGTTTTTTGACCACTGGATGGCACTATAAGACTGTTTGAACTGAAGGATGGATAGTGAAAGAGTGAACAGTGTGTCTCTTTAAGAAAAATGGGAGGGAGGCCCCTTGACGTGACATGGGCTGTCTTTTATTACTGTTTTTTGGTTCTCAAAATGGCGGACGTTCGGTGTGGTTTGAGCTCTTTAGCATAACATAGCATTTTTCACACAAAGCTTTTAATTTAAAAAGAAAATCAGTAAACAAGTTCTCAGCTTCTTTTTGCGAGAAAAACAACTTTTTAGACGAAGGCACGGGTTTCAATCGTGAATTTTAGAGCTTTGACAAGACGGAGGTTTTTTCCTGAGGTCGGCCTGTTAGCTTAGCTCGTAGCTTAGCTTCTCAGCATAGCTGCTTTTATTTTAACGATCCAAAAACGCGATTTTGGATCGTTGAAACAGATTTTAAAGAGAAAAGAGAAAGGGAGGGGTCAGTAAAGAGCACCGGCGTTGAGCCTCTTGTCATCTGTTGTCTTAAGTAGAAAAAAAAAAGAGACACGAAGAAACGATAAAGACGAAAAATGAAAATGAGGTTGATAATTTTCATTTATCATGCGATTAATTGATTTATTGTTTATTGCGACAGTTCCTAGTTTCAAATACAAATTTTATTTACACACACATATTTGAATTTTATAGACAGATTTCTAGTCCAGGGCGACTATGAAAGATCAAAAACTTAAAACTCTGGAAATATTTGCTAGAATTTTTTTTACCAAACCAAAAATCTTAAGAACTCCCACAAAGCTTTGCAGCTTGTATTCCATACGCTTTGTTGGGGTCATTAACTGACACAATTAACGATTCAAGTGTGATGTTGGAGCCTTTTAAAATTGCATCAAAATATTAAATGTTCTGTGCACAGCTGTTGACCCTCAAGCTAGATCAAACAACTCACCAATAGTCATCCAGTAGATCTGACGGGGGGGCACACCTCTTGGAGGGTTACAGTGCAGGGTGATTGGTTCCCCCTCTTTAACAACAACAGGGTCAAATATCTCCTTTGGGAACCTGGGAGAATCTAATGAAAAAAATCAAAGGTGTGCATTGATGTGAAGACCTGCCAGAGGTTTCCCTGGGTCATGCAGACTTCACTTACCCAAAACATTGATCTCAATTTCCCCCGTCATGGCCGTTCCCAACTTGTTGGAAGCAAAGCATCTGTATTTTCCCTGAAACTGGATGAAATGCTTGCTGTGAAGCATAAAAGTTCCATTCTTGTTGTCTGTTTTGATTGTTGAGAGTTTTGGAAATTCAAAGGGTTGGCCATCCTTTGTCCATCTGTATCTGTTGGAGTGAAACACGTAACAAGTCTTTATCAGTACTCTGTGTTTTGTCTAAATAAAATGAGAGCTTTTGTTCAAATTCATGCCCGTCTTTTCTAAAGTTATGTCACTTACTCTGGCCGTGGATTGCCCCTGGCTTCACATCTGATAGTGAGAGTGTTCTCAAAAGGAAGCCCAATAACAGGACTTGATGTATGATTTGTTATAGTTGGAGGCTGCTCCACTACCATATAAAAAAAACAGACAAAAATGATAAACTGTAACAAGATTTTTCCACCATAAAAACATCCAACAATTTTCTATTTCCCCCCTTTTATTTTCTTGTGTTTTTGTGTGACACTGGGAATAACCCGGTACAATCTGAACAAATATAGACACAAGCCTAAAATCACATCATGGTTTGACTCAGTGCATTTTAACAGTTTTTGAAACCAGTTAAAATGAATACCCAACAAAGAAATGAAGATATATTTTGGTTAATTAAATATTGCAGGCGATAAACAGACAGAGTACTTTATCTCAGGCATCATCCTACCTTCCAAAGGAATATTGACGCCTGCAGTCTTGGAGCTGAGGGCCCAAAGCAGAACTAGTGGTAAACTCCACGCAAACCTCATCACACCCTACTGGTCAGTGAAGAAAATGGAGATCAGGAGAATGTGTGGCTCAACTTTCTTCACTTGGAATGCGTAGGGCACAGAGAACCTGCAGGAGTCAGAAGTTTTACGTTCAATTCATCCTCAAAGCAAAAACAGCTGACAGCAGTGAAGATGAGGTCAAGAATCTGAGCCGGTAACAGTAACCAGAACAACTTCATCTGTTCATTTTAGAAAAGTGACCTCAAATGATGATTTAAAACAAGTCAAGTCAAGTCAGAGTTATTTGCATAGCACATTTAAAACAGGAACTGTTAACAAAACAATGCAAAAAGGTGTTTATGATCATGAAAATGTTTATTCAGTTATTTTAGCTCTGACCATGGGAGTTAATGTGCCATGCACAGAAACTGAAACTGGCTTTGTTATTTCAGGCAGGCAGAAATTAGTGTTGGGTGGGGTAAAATATATAAAAAATAAATAAATAAGATTCACATGGCAGGTTGCCTGATGTTTGGTCTGAAGGTTATGAGCATTCATTTATGTGAAAACTGCAACAAAAACTTTGTCAACCATAAGGCCTAATGGAAACAGAACACAAAGGGGGATTTTATTTTAGATATACATTCAGGAGCAGGCAGCACGTGGTGGCGCAGTTGGTAGAGCTGCCACAACCTGAAAAGGAAGAAACGGGTTAAGATAATGGATGGATGGATGGATGGATGGATGGATGGATGGATGAATTCAGGAGCTCCGATGACCTTTCATGAACTACTTAAAGTATTTGGTTCAAAAGGTACTACTGCAACTTTGACAGCTAACTTTTTCCTAAGGTGCTTTAAATGTCCATAATTTAAAATAAAATGTTCACAATTTAAACAGCTTATGGAGACTCCAATGGCACAAAAGTTTATATGACAGAAACTTGAGATATGACTCACTCCTTCCCATTTAAAGTATTCAAATACTGACTTTAAATGCATCTCACAAATGGGAAAAAATATCCATCCATCCATTATCTTTTACCTGCTTCTTCCATTATGGGTCACGAGGGTCGCCGGTGCCCAATCCATGTCCAGCAGTCACTGTGGGAGGGGGGGGGGGGGGGGTACACCCTGGACAGGTCGCAAGTCCATCACAGGGACACATAGAGACAAACAACCATTCACTTTCTCACTCACACCTAGGGACAATTTAGAGTTACCAACATGAATGTTTTTGGTCTGTGGGAGGAAACCGAAGTACCCGGAGAAAACCCACGCATGCACGGAGAGAACATGCAAACTCCACCCAGAAAGACCCCTGGCCCGGGATTTGAACCAAGAACCTGCTCACTGAGAGGCAGCAGCTCTACCAGTTGCACCACCGTGCTGCCCAGGAAAAAGCATGTTGTTTTTTTTAAGTATATGTGCTTTTTTAATTTCTTTTGAAAAAAATATAAATAATGTAGAACACATTATTTACATTTATGAACATATTCAATTACGTACATTATTTTTACATTCATTTGAACTTAAATGAAATAAAATGTTAAGTTATGTAATAGGATTTAAATGCCAATGTCTCATCATCATCATGTCTCGTTTTGGTGCTGGGTTTCATTTGGAAGACTTTCATCTTCACTCGTCCTTCATTGTTCTGAGCTTGTAGCATAACACAGAGGAGAACTTGTCTGGAGATTATCATTTGAACTGTAAAGCCTGGCTGGTGGCATTGCATTGCATGCAATCCACATACAAAGGCTAAGCTGTTGTCTGTTACAATCACTAGATCCAAGATGGCAGTTTATAAATTGGGCTAAGCTCATCAGTGTTTCACAGCTTAGTTCTCACAGTGTTGGGATGGTGGAGGCAGCAGTGGCCATGCCAAATGGGTTCACCCTGCAGCTAATCCTGCTATCAGAAGAATGAAGGCTGGGAGCTGCAGCAGTCCTACAGTATGCTGCTTAACCATGGCTGAGTACTACTCCGAGGTCTTCCGAGGACATACGAGCTTTACGTAGTAACTGTTTGAAACAGGATTAAAACAGCTTGAAATTAGTACAAATGAACAAATTTGGATATTCAACTTAATTTGCATCGTGGACTTTGTAATCTAATTAGTTCAGTGGAGGGGAAAAAAATGTTTTCATCCATCCATATCCATTTTCTTTACCCGCTTTTTCTTTCCTGGTTGAGGGGAGATGGTGTTTATTTCCAAGAGTCACTTTGCGAGAAGCGGGGGACACCCTGGACAGATCGCAAGTCCATCATAGGGACACATCGAGACAAATGAGACAAACGGCAATTCACACACCTAGGGACATTTTGGAGTTACCAATTGACTAATCATGCATGTTTTTTTTGGTCTGTGGGAGGAAACTGGAGTACTGGCAGAAAGCCCACGCATGCACGGAGAGAACATGCATACTCTACACAGAAAGGCCCCCAGGCCGGGAGGCGATACGGCAACCTTCTCACTGAGTGGCGACAGCTCTAACCGCTGCCCCGTCGTGCCGCCTACAGGTTTTCATCTTGCACAAATACTATGTCTCCTTCTAGTTCAGTGTTAGTGCACAATATATCCCAGACACACAAAAACAAAAATAAAAAACATGCCCAAATAAACATATTTTGCATAAGAAAGCAGGTAAGCCACTATTGTACATGAACAAGTAAAAACTTCAGTGACAGAGTTGAGTTTCAGCCTCAAGCCATCACTAATTCCTTCATACTTTGCCTCCTAGGAGCCAGACTTTATGTCCACCTTTTAAGAAGTCACGGTCAAAACAATTATCAGGCTTCTGAAGGTATTTTATAGTTTGGACTTTGGCTGCCTGTTACAGTCTCATCTTTTGTTCATTACATGAACATCTTAGAAAGAATGTTTTCTTTTGTTGCTGTTGTTTTTGAGCCACTTAACTCTGACCTATGAGTCATTCAGCCATTAAAAATAAGCTTTTGAACTTTAGGGGTGAAGCGATGCTGCGTCGACACGTAACAGATAATATGAAAAAGAAAATATAGTAAGTATTAGATCTTTAGGCAGTTTATCACCAGTGGTCTGTCACAAAGACACAATTTGTGGTTCTTTAGTAGAAGCTTGAAAAAGAAAAAGAACACCAAAACACAACAGCGCATTTCAGCACCAACTAGGTGATTCCAAAAGAGTTATTATTTGAAAATATGATCAGCTCAAGGATCTCTTAGGTCCTGAACCAGATCCCTGATGAATTTATTTTCAATTTCTTATGGACATGATTTTCTAATTCTGTTCATATACTGACAATTTTTAGGCCTTGCTCTTCTTTACCCTCCACTGTTGCTATTTTAAGCACAAACTGCACAACAAGGTATCATGACCAGGTAGAAGAACTGTACAGAGATGGAGTGGAAAAAGCAGCCAATGTCCAAATAAAAACCTTAAATGACCTTCAAATGCCTGGAGAACTAGAAATAAAGAGTACTTTAAAAGATTACAACTAAGACTGGCTGCTTGGAAGCTAAGTATATAGAATTTTTTTCTGTCTTTCTCCCTCCTTAGATGGCATTAATCTGGCCTCAAGCTCAAATGTTAAAAATCTTGGTGTTATTTTTAATCAGGACATGTCTTTTATCCCCAACATTAAAAACATTACTAGAACCGCCTTCTTCCACCAGCGTAATATTGTTAAAATTAGAAACATCTCATCTAAAAATGATGCAGAAAAACTAGTTCATGCATTTATCACGTCTAGACTGGACTATTGCAATGGTTTGTTATCTGGGTTTCCAAATACTTCTTTAAAAAGTCTTCAGTTGATCCAAAATGCTGCTGCCAGAGTCTTAACTGGAGTTAATAGGAGAGATCATATCTCTGGTTTTGGTTGTCAGCAGCAAACTGGTTGATCCACTCTAAGAAGGTGCTATTTAAGAGACTGAGCTGAATACAGCACCTCAGACTGAGGAAGTCTCTTGGATGAGAGACGAAACGTTTCTAGATTTTTTTTGCTTTGTTTTGCTTTTGTTATTTTTTGAATGTCCAGAGGACCAGATTGAACTTTTTTGGATATCTCTCCAGTTTTAGCTTCTCTCCATTGGCTCCCTGTCAAATCCAGAATATAATTCAAAATCTTACTTCTAACCTACAAAGCCCTCAACAACCTAGCTCCATCTTATATTTGAGATCTTATTGTTCCATTTTTCTTAACAGAGCACTTTATTCTCAGACTGCAGGCTTTCTCAAAGTTCCTAGAGTCTTCAAGAGCAGAATGGGAGGAAGATCTTTCAGTTATCAGGCTCCTCTCTTGTGGAACCAACTTCCAGTTTCTGTCCGTGAGACTGACACATTATCCAGTTTTAAGAATGGGCTTAAGACTTTCCTTTTTGATAAATCCTATAGTTACGGTTGGCTTGTTATGCTGCCTTAAATTTAGACTACTAGAGGACAAATTGACCTCATTTCCTTAAATGATTTGTTAAAATTGAATAGTTTTCATTTAATATTATTTATATCTTAACATGTAATTCTTGACCTGCCATTGTGTATCTGTTCCTCTCAAACCCAGCCAGTTTAAGCAGATGACCGCTTGTCCTGAGCCTGGTTCCATTGGAAGTTTCTTCCTCATGAGGAAGTTTTTCCTTTCCACTGTCGCCTTCATGCTTGTTCAAGATGAGAGTTCTGTGATGGAGTTAAATTCAAAGCAGTCTGCTCCTCAGATAAATAAGTGTTAAATTATTATTTTTATTTATCAGTGTCACTATTCAGTGCCCTGAGATGACTTCTGTTGTGACTTGGCACTATATAAATAAAATGAATTAAAATTGAATTGAATAGAAATTGGGGGTGGATTAAAACATTTCCACTGTGCTATATATTAGTTAGAAATAAATCCAGAAGTGTTTGCAAAGTCTTTGTAAGGCAAGAAGCCCAGAGAGGTCAGGGTGCACAAGAAATGTGACCTCTTATGAAGATTTGTTTTAATCTTGACAACACAGCAGATAGTTTTCATTCAGATCCCCTGCCTGCTGTGCACACCTGCATATCACTGTGGGGTAATGCACATTTCTAAGCTC